CTGAGTGGCTTAAACAACAGAAATTTTATTCTCTCACAGTCTGGAAGCTAGAAGTTAAAGATCAAGGTGTCAGTAGGTTTGCTTTCTTTTGCGGCCTCTCGCCTTAGCTTACTAATACCTGTCTTCTCACTGTGTCCTCACATGGCCTTCCTTCTGTGCATGTATATATCCCTGGTGTCTTTGTGAATCCAAATTTCCAATCAGATCGGATTATGACCCCACCCTTATGGCCTTATTTTAACTTAATCACCTGTTGAAAGATCCTATCCAACTATGGTCACATTCCAAAGTTTGGGGGTTAGCACTTCAACATATGAATTGGGTGGGACACAATTTACTCCATCACATGAACCATATCACATTCTTTCTTTGTAGTCTCTTTATATCACTGCTTCTCCCACTTTGCATCTTCTTTTTCATGCACTAACTTGTGAAAAGAAACAAGATGCCTTGCCCTGGGGATTGTCCTACATGCTGAATTCATTTGCTTCTTCCTCTGGAGCAGGGGTCCTCAAACTTTTTAAACAGGGGGTCAGTTCACTGTCCCTCAGACCATTGGAGGGCCGGACTATAGTTTAAAAAAAAACTATGAACAAATTCCTATGCACACTGCACATATCTTATTTTGAAGTAAAAAAACAAAACGGGAACAAATACAATATTTGTATTTGCATGTGGCCCGCGGGCCGTAGTTTGAGGACCCCTGCTCTGGAGGCTAACTTGCTCCTCTATTCCCTAAGTTCCTGCAAACAAGCTGTTAGATTCAATAGCTCGAATGGACTTAGGTTCAGTGACTTGACCAGACCACCTCATGGGTGGCACTGGCACTTCCTACTCTGTCTCATTAGAGGGACACCATGTCTGCATGACCAGCTCACTTTTACTTTTGCTGAGAACATTATTCTGTAAAGGCTGTTGTGAACATTGGATAGGTCACTCATTTCCAGCGTGGTTGCTAGGTACAAGGTATGCTTGAGCACATGCTGCAAAGGTCACAGGTGTTCTTATACCGGAGCCTCTGCTTGCCAAAAGATGTTGACAGTATCCACTCCAGGCCAGCCCTTGGAGCCCCATCCCTCTTTATGGCTGGAATGCCTCCTGACATACCCCTCCCCTTGCACCACCAGGGCCTCCCGCCTCCCTCTAGCTGCAACTTTCTTAACTGACCTGAAGAGCAGCGATGGTGGTGGTGGTGGTAGTGGCAATATTGCATTTCCCCTCTGCATTGTTAATTTGGAGAATTGTTCTAGGTTGAGGGAACTGCCTAAATGCATCTGAGGATATCAGATGTTCCCAGACCCTTGTCCTAGTATTGAAGCGTATTCAGAGTTTACCTAGAAATGTGGTGGTGATTAGGGGAGCACAGCAGGGGCTTTATCCTTTCCTCCCTTGGGTGGATAAGTTCCCTGGGTCACTTCAGAATCAAAGAGGAAACTGATTTAATTTTTAATGCTCTATTGCTTCCAACCTTACTTCAGGCACTTTTATGAAAGTGTGGATTTGTAGAGGATTTAAATTAACTCAAAATTTCAGTTCACACGCTTAGGGTCACCGTGAAGCATGCATAATGCATGATGCCCTCTAGGCTCTAGATTTATGTAGGTTTCAAAACTCTCTCAGAGTTCCTTCCAAAATGTTAACCTTTTCCTAGGAATCTGAGGCAGAGCGATGATATAGAGACTTCCTCCATGACTCAAGGCCCTGGAGAAAGGACAGGGGATAGGCATGAAAGACATCCAGGCAGATGGTCTCCACATGGTTTGCCATGAGGTGGCAGTGGGAGGAAGTGGGGGTAACTTCAGGCTTTCTTAGATAGCTGGATGGATAGTAATGCTGCTTCCCAAAATAGAAAAAGGGAGTGAATGGGTAGGCTTATTCAGGGAAATGGTAGTTCGATTTTAGGGATGAATTTTTCCATGTTGCAAATATTTTGGCCTGGTTTCCCCCCCCCCCCCCCTATAATTTATAATGATTGCTCAGAAATTCTTGCTAGAGAGCCTATTCCTAGCTGTGAAACAGTAAAAAGCTGGCAGGGCGCCTCATGCAAACCGCTAATGACTGCCTGACACATTTTTATCGACTGGAGATTCACTAAAGCAGCACCACAGACAAGATTTTAGTACTTTCCGAGGTGCCCCTGGGCTAAGTTGTCCTTGGGAATTCACATATCTGCCATAATCCTGAGAAATTCCCATGGTCTTCTGGCCTAAGGAAATCCCCTGATAAAGATTTCCAGCATAGTTGCAAAATGCTCCTGAGTGTTGATTGGTATTAAGAAAGAACAAGTCAAAACATGCATAATTTATTAATTTCCTTCAGGTCAGACTCTTTCCTTCTAATATTTCCCAAAGGCACTTGTAAAAATCGGGTTACAAATTATAGGGGGGAAAAACAGGGCAAAAATGTTTGCAACATGGAAAAATTCATGTCTAAAGTCAAACTATCATTTCCCTGAAAAAGCCTAGCCATTCACTCCCTTTTGCTATTTTGCAATATGTTCATTCAGTAACAGCAGAAGAGAACAGAAAGACATTACTATTATAGTCTTAAAACCTTTGGTAGCTTACGTTACAAACTTGGCGACAGCTATATAAACAAAAGAGTAAAGATTTCCACTCAAAGTCCCTGTAAGACAGATGGTAACATACTTAAGTAGTTTTTAAAGGGTAAAGATGTGTGTGAGCATCCATCTGGAAGTAATTTTAATTCTAAAAAGCCCATTGTTATCATTAAGCTTTCAGTTGACTTCCCCTACTAGAACAATGAACTAGCTTTTTCTTAAAATAGCCCCCAACTTATTCAGACAATAAAACCCCAAAACAGAAGTTTTTGAAAACTCAGAATTTTGCTCAGAACCTCTTTGGAGATTGTGGGGCTTGGCCCTGCCCCTCTGTGTCCTCAATGAAGTGAAACCAGGTAGGTCTGTGTCCCACCGCAATGCTGCAGAAGTTGTGAGAATGTGATGTCCAGAGGAGCCCAAACCTTGTCCCCTGAGGCATCAAAGGGGGCCTGTCTCCCAGCTGTGAGTTAGGCAAATGTCTCTGCCTCCACCTTTGGCCAAGTGAGCTGCACCAGCTCAAGGGTCCAAACTGCTCGGAGGCTGGGCTCTTTGGACAGGTGTTGTGGACAGGTGTTGTGAGCGTTGTTCTGGCTGTGGGTGAAGGGACAGTAAACACTCTGACAGGCCCTCTTGCTGTCCTGGAACTTACATCTCAGTATAATTAAAAGAGCTAATCCAGTGGAGTCACCCCTGATTTGGCAGGTACTAAAACAGATGACATTTGTCATACATAAATCTATAAATTCAATGTGTCCTAATCAAAATCCCAATGTAGTATTTTTTGGACCTTGACAAACTGATTCCAAAATTCAAATGGAAGAAAAACTAGACAAGGACAGTCAAAACCAATTTTTTTTCTAATTCACGAAAGGAACTCTACTTACCTAATATAAAAATATATAATCAAACTATAATAATTAAAACAAAGTCCAATAGCATATTAGAATAGGTAATACGAGGAAGAAATAAACCGAATGCTGGACTAGAAAAACAAACCCAGTCCGGCCAGCGTGGCTCAGTGGTTGAGCGTTAACCTATGAACCAGGAGGTCACAGTTCAATTGGGTAACTTCTTCAAGGTTTCGCAGGTAGTGAAGATTGGAATATATCAGTGGGCCTCAGGACCAGGCGGCTTCCCCAGGACTTCCATCCTCCACCATGTTTATTTAAATTGTTATTATAGTTGACATACAATATTATGTTAGTTTCAGGTATACAACATAGTAATTTGACGTTTATATAGCATACAAAGTCATCATCACGTTATCTAGTAACCTTCTGTCACCACCATACAAAGTTATTACAATAACCCCACTAGCATGGCTCAGTGGTTGAGTGTCCACCTATGAATCAGGAGGTCATGGTTCGATTCCCCGTCATAGCACATGCCTGGGTTGTGGGCTCGATCCCCAGTAGGGGGCATGCAGGAGGCAGCCAATCAATGATTCTCTCTTCATCGTTGATGATTCTATCTCTCTCTCACTTTCCCTTCCTCTCTGAAATCAATAAAAATATATTTTTTAAAACCCACAAAGTTATTACAATACTAGAAGCCTGGTGCATGAAATTCTTGCATTCCAGGGGTCCCTCAGCCTGGCCTGCACCCTCTTACAGTCTGGGAGCCCTTGGGGGATGTCCGACTGCCAGCTTAGGCAGTCGGAACATCCTAGGGAGAGGTTCCTGACACTGAGAGGCTCCTGCCACTGCCGCGCCTGGCTTCTGGCTGAGCGGCGCTCCCCCTGTGAGAGAGCGCACTGACCACCAGGGGGCAGCTTCTGCATTGAGCATCTGCCCCCCTGGTGGTCAATGCGCATCATAGTGACCAGTTGTTCTGCCGTTCGGTCGATTTGCATATTAGCCTTTTATTATATAGGAGTATTGATTATATTCCCTGGGCTGTACTTTACATCTCTGTGACTTATTTTATTTATTTACTCATTTATTTCATAACTAAGTGCAGCCACCCCCGCCGTGCTCCTCTCCTAAGGGTTCCTCTGCCTGCTGTGTTACTGTGCCTGACATTTTGGGTGTGGCTTCTTCCCATATCCATGCTATGGCCTCATGGGCAACTGTAATTCAACTGCTCCCCATCGGTTCAACCCAAAGGGAATTCTGGAGCTGGGAAATGACCCTATTGTCACTTTACTGCATGTCTTCAATGTCTGTGATGCCAGTGTCTCCTTTACTCAACTGTGGGTGCCTTGGTGCAGGGACCCTCCATTCATGATTTTATTCCTAAAATATATTACAGTGCACGGCAGATGCTAGACATTAAATGAACCTTTGGTAAATTAATTCTAAGCACCATATTTTAGTGGAAATGACCTGGATACCTGGATATAGTCACATTGCATTTTCTCAATGATCCAAACAACTGCATCACCAAGCTTAAGTTGTGGTCACTCTGCCCACCCAAACCAATTTTCCTTTCATTGTTGCAGCTGATGGGCTCAGAACGGAGGGAGATGCAGAAGCGACAGATGTCTGCAGCCCAGGAGACATCAGACTCCCTCCCGGGCCAGCACGGAGTGGGGAACCGAGGATCCAATGCTTGCTGCTTCTGCTGGTGCTGCTGTTGTAGCTGTTCATGGTGAGGTTTGGGGCTTTGAGGCCGAGGGACCCCACTGGTGCACGAATTCATGCACCGGGCCTCTAGTAACTTATATATTATACATTTGTATGTAGAGAGACTAACATGTATGGTAATAACATGTATGGTAATGATAAACAACAAATTAAGGATGGTATTTATCTCTAGGTTGGACAGAGGGGAAATGGGATGGAAAAAGTATACAGCCAGAGATGTATCCCTGTTGATAACACATAGTAAAGTCAATTATTAAGGAAAGGTAAATGGCACTTTGTTCTCTAAGCCTTTGTATTATCTTTCTCAAAATTTTGCTTTATGGCCTTCTGGCATCTCATTTTATAAAAGAAGTCATGCAGATTGCTGATCTCTTGGCAATAAACTAATTTTTTTCCTTTCTAGAGGATTTTTTTTCCTTTTTATAACTCAAAAATTTACCAAAATGTATCTAATCAGGGGTCTTCTTTTACTGGTGAGCAACTATTTTGGCTTCTATCAACATTTTCTAATTTTACTGTAGCAATAATAACTTAACTCTGGTTTTAAAAATTGACACAAAATATGTTCTTCAGTTTTTAAAAAAAAAATACATTGTCTCCTTAAATATTTCTACTTTTTAAAAAATGAGACATGGAAAAATGTCAAAGCTTAAATAAATATTGCTTATTTAGTTCACAAAGGAATTTCCAGTTTTTTTTAGGAATATTGTATCAAATTCATCCTTCACTTTCTCTTTGCTTTTCCATCCCTACTGTGCAGTAATGTTTTCTGCTTACGAAAGAAGCCTTGGGAGTCAATCAGTATTAATTCTCCCACAGAGAGAACACCACCCAGATGCCTCTCAAGTTTGTTTTTGTTTTGTTTTAAGAAACCATTATTTAGTTACAGTTTTTAGCCTTGGCATCATGAAAGCAACAAGTAAGAAGAGTTTCTAATGACTCTGCATTTAAAGAAAAATAGAGCAACACACACACACAATCACTGAAAATTCTTAAGCAGATGTGCTGAAAATAGACTGAAAGGCTTACAAAATGGTACAAAGAGAGTTAAGGAAAGATGTAATAAAAGGAATAGAAAAGATAGTAAGTAGTGATAGAAAGATAAAGTAAACTCAAAAGCAGTGATAAAATCAATTTTTATATTAATGGGAAACTAAAAGCATTCCTGCTAAAATCAAAAACAAGGTGAGGCCTGACTGGCATGGTTCAGTGGCTGAGCGTCCACCTATGAACCAGGAGTTCACGGTTCGAGCATATACCCAGGTTTCGAGCTGGATCCCCAGTGTGGGGCATGCAGGAGGCAGTCAATCAGTGACTCTCTCTCTCATCACTGATACTTCTTTCTCTCCCTCTCCCTTCCTTTCTGAAATCAATAAAAATATATCACACAATAAAACCCCAAAAACAAAAACAAGGTGAGGATGCCTATACCCCTACTCTTTAGCATTGTACTATAGGTATCATCAGCCAATGACATTAGACAAGAGAAAATGACTGGAGGCCTAAAAACTGGAAAATAAGAAGTAACTCTCCCTATTTGCAGATGATACGAGAATATACCTGGAAACCCCAAGAGAATTATAGCTAAACTGATGCAAACAAAAAAGAATTCAATAAAGCCCTGGCCGGTGTGGCTCAGTTGGTTGGGCATTGTCCTGTGCACCTGGGTATGTGCCCTAACAGGGAATCGAACCCGCAACCCTTCGGTGCTTCAACCCACTGAACCACACCAGCCAGGGCTGGCTGGACTTCTTTTTAGGGTGATGAAAATGTTCTAAAATTAGATATTAGTGATTGCTGTACAACCTTGTGATTATGCTAAAAACCACTTAATTGCACACTTTAAATAATTAGCTTTGTGATATATAAATGATGGTTCAATAAAGCTATCAAGAAAGTAATAGCCTTCATATGTACAAATAATAATCAGTTAGGAGATGAGATAGAACTGAAAATTCCATTTACAATAATAACAAAAATACTTGGAATAAATTTACAAAGTTATGTACCAAATGTATATAAGGAAACTTAAACTCTCTTGATCAATACAATAGATTTTGATTTACTTTCCTGGTACTCTCTGGTACTTTTGTAGGTGTGCCTATCAATATATTAAAACCTCCATTTTGACTGCAAACAAAGTCTGCAGAGTATATACTTGTTTTCGAGGTGCAAGAAATGAAATAAATAAATAAAAATATTTAGAGAAAAAGAAAAAGCAAAACATCCTGATGATCTCACCTTTTTATTATTTTTTAATGGGCATGTTTTTATGAAAAGAAATATTACTCTAAATGTAAACTCTCTCCTGATTAGTGTAGACCACAGTATTATAAACGTAATTTATTTTTACTAATACTTTATTGTCATATGGTTTTCTTAAGAAAGCCAATCAGGGTCACTGTTTTGAAGAAAAGAAAGAAGTTCCACTTGGTAATCTGGAGTTCTCTTTAGAATATCTGTTAAAAAGCTTTCTTTGATAAAGAATGGTCTCAACTGACACGTTAATGTCGTATTTTGTGCAGTCTCACTGTTAGAAATCAAGAACAGGGGCCCGCGAGGGCTTCCCATGAACTCAGAAGAGACGACCTTCCAACCTGGGAAGAAAGGTAAGATCTCATGTGTTCAGCTCACTAAGTTGACAGAAATGCCTACCTTATTATTTTTTTCCGCTATATGTTTTAATGAACACATAATTTCTGTAACTGCAAGTTAGCAATATCAAGTCATAACTGAGCATCACATTTTCACTGCAGATTTCCTTTTAATTCATTGTGTGACAGGGAGAAAAATCAGTTCCATCATTAATCTAATACCTACTAATCTCAAATATAAATTGATGCTTCTTGACAAAGCATATGACATTATTTGATTTTTATATGGTATGCTTTTTAAAAAAGACTATAATAAAACATACACATTGGTTTTCAGGAAAGTTTTAAAAGTCCATCTTTTTCTTAACTATTAACTTATACTTCCATTAATGTATTGTTTTTAAAATTTCAGAAAATGCACATAAATTACTTTCCATAATGCCAGATTTTAATATTCTCTTTTCCCACCTGTAGTATCAACTGATTTACTTTTATCTACATATTCTTAGACCTTTTCTTGGAATTTTGCCTATATAATTGCAAATACAAAACCAATATCCTAAAAGCACTGTTCAAATAGGTCTTGTATTAAATGTTTATTTTATTTTTTTTTTAATATATTTTATTGATTTTTTACAGAGAGGAAGGGAGAGAGATAGAGAGTTAGAAACATCGATGAGAGAGAAACATCGATCAGCCGCCTCCTGCACATCTCCTACTGGGGATGTGCCCGCAACCCAGGTACATGCCCTTGACCGGAATCGAACCTGGGACCTTTCAGTCCTCAGGCCGACGCTCTATCCACTGAGCCAAACCGGTTTCGGCTAAATGTTTATTTTTGAGATTTATTTACTTTGAGAGAAAAAAGGGAAGTAGCCTAAAAGGTTGATTAAATATTTTTCTTCATTCTTTATCTTAGTTATTCTTACCCAGATTTTAAAAAGTCTGGGAAGCACATTAAAATCTTCCACAACTTATGAGTTTCTTAAAACAGCTTTTATCTTGTATATTCCAGTATCATGTATTCTGTACCAAAGCTTGAGGCTGTTACATCTGAAACCACAATGCCTACCTCTAGTCCTGGCTATACCCCTCCCGCCAGCGGAACCTTGAGACCTTGGGCACTTAGTGGTCACATTATGCCTCAGTTTCCTTATGTGTTTTGTGGGGGTGATAATAGTTTGTTGTTGCTAAGCCGAAGAAGGGTTGTTGTATCTGTCTCTGTTTGTAAGAACACCCCTCATAATGGAGTACATCTATAAGGATCCTATTTTCAAATAAGGTCACATCCAGAGATATTGAAGGCTAGGACTTCAACATATCTTTTTTCAGGCATAAAATTCAACCCAATAACAACTTCCTACAAAATAACACTGGAGCCAGTTGGTTTCACAGATTAGTTCCACAAAAACATTTCAGGAATTGATCATTCCAAGATTACACGAGTCTCGTATAATTACCCAAATGTCTAAGAGGCCAGTGTAACAGTGAAACCAAAATCAGATGAGGCTAGTACAAGAATGGAAAATGAGAGATGAATCCTGCCCAGGAACTCTGAGCTGGCCACATACAGCAGCACGGGTGAATCTTAGACACTTAGTGTTGGGTGGAAAAAGCAAGCTGTAGAAGACATTTTTATAGACTTCAAAGAAAAAAAAAAACTAGCCCAGCCTGCATGGCTCAGTGGTTGACCTATGAACAGGGAGGCCACCGTTCAATTCCCGGTCAGGGCACCTGCCCGGGTTACAGGCTCAATCCCCAGTGTGGGGCTTGCAGGAGACAGCCAATCAATGATTCTCTCTCATCATTGATGTTTCCATCTCTTTCTCCCTCTCCCTTCCTCTTTGAAATCAATACAAATATATTTTTTAACTAAAAAATACATTGTTCCGGGATACATACATACATAGAAATTAGGGGGACAGGGTAATGGAAAAGAAATAATAAAGGTCATTGTTAAACAGATTGTGTTTTCTGACCTCAGTATAATGAAATGTAAGTAAAAAATCAACTGGAATAGGGAAAACCCAAAATCAAGAATAGAGGTTCCCTCAGACCTGGGGAGGCAGAGGGCAGTGAGTGAGTGTAGTGTCTAGGTAAGTGCAGCTCTCGGCAACGGCCTGGTTCTCAAGGTAAACGGTGAATTCATGGATGCTCATTTTCGTTGTCACCCTTCATAACCTGCAGTTATATAACTCATATTCTTTTCTCCTCTTTAAAATTCTCTTTTGAGTGTTAAAACATACTACATAGGTACTGCCCCACTGCTATTCTGGAAGTCAGTGTGGTCAGGGCTGACTCGGGTCTGTCATGTGACTAGGGAGTTTTTGCTCAGATGATTATAGGATTTTTCTTTTCCTCTATAATTTAAAAACTTTTCCAGGACATGCTTAGATATAAACAAGTATGTGCTGAGCAGTTATTGTAGCAATTTGGCTCGCCAGCCTTTGGGCAGTAGCCATGCAATCCAGCTAAACAATGTGAGAGTATCAAACTCATGTGTTTTTGCTAAGGGCTTAAGGAAACAAAAACAGCTCTTTCCCTTCCTGAAAGGTCCAAAGTGCACATTTTCATTCTCAGAGAGGAAAAAGATAGGTTTCCAGTGATGAAATCCAGATGAACTACCAGTAACATGGCTCCCTTTTGCCCTTTCTTCTGGTCTCTGCAAAGCCCAACTCCTACTCTGGAAGAGGTCAGTGCCTGGGCGCAGTCCTTCGACAAGTTGATGCTCACCCCAGCAGGAAGGAACGCTTTCCGCGAATTCCTCCGGACAGAATTCAGTGAAGACAATATGCTTTTCTGGATGGCGTGTGAGGAACTGAAAAAAGAAGCTAATAAAAGCATTATTGAGGAAAAGGCAAGGACAATATATGAAGACTACATTTCTATTCTTTCTCCTAAAGAGGTATGTACCTACCAAAAGGTTTTGATCCAGGAACCCATGGATAAAATGAACCCTTCTGTGTTTGGTCACCTGGCAGTTAAAGCTACTCCAAAACATAGGAAATGACTTTACCTCCTATCCATAGTGCTGTTACCCGTTACCCTTGAACAACCCTGCTTTGTTTTGTTTTAATGAATATATATATGACACTAGAGGCCTGGTGCACAAAATTCATGCACAGGTAGGGTCTCCAGGCCTGGCCGTTGATCAGTGCCGATTAGGGCCTTCAGGCTGCTGGCCGGGGCCTTCTTTCCCCTGGCTGCCAGCTGCTGGCCAGGCCTTCCTTTGTTCTGTGCCACCCCCTGGTGGTCAGCACACGTCATAGTGGGCAGTCGAACTCCTGAGGGGACAATTTGCATGTTAGCCTTTTATTATATAGGATTTTATTGATTTCAGAGAGGAAGGGAGAGAGAGAGAGAGAGATAGAAACATCAGTAATGAGAATCATCCATCGGCTGCCTCTTGCACACCCCACACAGGGGATCGAGCCCACAACCCAGGCATATGCCCTGAACTGGAATGGAACTGTGACCTTCTAGTTCATAGGTGGATGTTCAACCACTGAACCACATTGGCTGGGCAAGAATCCTGATTTTAAGTGTGCAGGTTTTTTCCCTAATAAATACAGGAGAGTACTGTAAATATATTTTCTCTTCCTTGTCATTTAATAACATTTTCTTTTCTCTACCTTACTTTATTATGAGACTATCTATAATAATAAAAGCATAATATGCTAATTAAACCATACAGCCGAACGACCTTCTGGACGAAGCCAGAGCTGTGAGGGCTGAGGTAAGCTGCCACAGCTGCGAGGGCCAAGCCCCTTGCATGAATTTCGTGCATTGGGCCTCTAGTCGTATATAAAACACATAACATATAAAATATGAGCTAATCAACTATTTATGTTACCAATAAGGCTTCCAGTTAACAGTAAGCTATTAGTAAAGTTTTGGGGAGTCAAGGGTTATACATGGATTTTCACCTGCATGGGGTCAGGGCCTCTACCCCTTGTGTTGTTCAAGGGTCAAGTGTATTCTAATTCCTTTGACCATGGTCCCACAATGGGCTCCAAGTACACCCTGAAATCTGGGGAAGATTTTGTCCATTTTTCTGGAGAAAGTATCCATAACTTTCATCAGATTCTCCAAAAGGGGTAGTCTATGCATTTCACTATTAATACTGTTTAAAAATAGTATAAGCATTTCTTTAAATAAAAGTATCCCTTTATTCTGATTCAAAATCTTTTTTATAGTACCTTTATTTTAACTTATTTTAAAATTTTTATTGTTGAAAGTATTACGATGTCCCCTGGTATCTTTATTTTATATGGTAGCATCACTAACATGATACTGATTCTTCCAAGTTTTCACCAGAGTGTCCTTTTTTAATATCAGAGAAATTATGAGTGAAATCAAGCAAGTTTTCATCTCTCAAGAGTTTTTGTTCTTTCAATTCCAAAATCTAGGTTGGGTTGATCAAAAAACTAAGTGCCTTGTGGTTCTAGTTATAAAATCATTCATTATTTCCAAATATGTGCTAAGAATATAAAGTTAATGAAACATTGCCTCTCCTGCCAGAGAACTCTCACATAAGGGGGCAGAGTGACTTGGAGCCCTCCACCCTCACCCCCACCAATGCCTCAGGATCCTAATGGGCTGGTGCAGTGAGCAATCAACAGTGGGGTGGGACAGGAATGATGGAGACACACTGAAGAGGCATTAGACGGACCCAGGGGGGGACCCAGAATCTGTTTTAAGGAGCCTTCTAGGAGCTTTTGAAGCCACTGAAATTTGAGAACCTCATTATGTGTTCAGTTTCTCTTTGGCAGGCTCAATTTTGGGGTGACTCTGGGATTTCTAAAAATATATATTTTATTGATTTTTTACAGAGAGGAAGGGAGAGGGATAGAGAGTTAGAAAAATCGATGAGAGAGAAACATCGACCAGCTGCCTCCTGCACACTCCCCACTGGGGATGTGCCCACAACCAAGGTACATGCCCTTGACCAGAATCGAACCCAGGACCCTTCAGTCTGCAGGCCGATGCTCTATCCACTGAGCCAAAACGGTCAGGCATGGGTTTGGGATTTTTAAGAATCAGAACAAGCTATGGGAATTTGGGATGGATTTCCAAAGAGAAACGTATCTAATACAACTCGAAAAGAGATTTAATGTAGTCCTCTTCGAGATGGTTGCCAGAAAGGTCAGCAGAGAAGTTTTGTAATGTGAACATCTCAGCATTGCTTTCAAATTAGTGCTAGCACATGTTCTAAATACAAGAAACCAAAGACTTAGCTGTCAGAAAACTGATGATAGGGGAAAAGGGTCATGAGACCCTCTTGTAGCAAAATAATCATATCATGCTTCTCTTTTTGCTTTGCTATGCAGGAAACAAGGGTGTTAGGTGAAAGAGGGAAGAATCTTTGACCTGAGGAAGAAGAGCAAAATGTTATGAAATCGGTGTAAGCATGTGACTTTTCTGTTTGTGGTTCTGATGGGAAGAAGCAACTCATCAGCTGAAAAGAGAACAATGAAAAAAAATTTGGTTCTAAAATGGCTTCAGAATATGAGTTTACATCCTTAGATCAGGATTTTGCAAACTCAGCACTATTGACATGTGGGGCTGGATGATTACTTGTTGTAGGGGCTACCCTATGCACTATGGGATGTTGAACAGTATCCCTGGTGTCTCCTCACTAGATACCAATAGAACCTGCCCAGACTTTGCAATTTTGAGGATCAAAATGTCACTAGACATTGACGATTGTCCCCTTGATAGAGGGGCAAAAATCACAGCCTATTGAAAACCACTAGATCAGCGGTTCTCAACCTGTGGGTCGCAACTCCTTTGGGGGTCGAACAACCCTTTCACAGGGGTCACCTAAGACCATCGGAAAACACATATATAATTACATATTGTTTTTGTGATTAATTGCTATGCTTTAATTATGTTCAATTTGTAACAATGAAATTGGGGGTCACCACAACATGAGGAACTGTATTAAAGGGTCGCGGCAGTAGGAA